TTCCTGTATCACGGCATGCGCCGTGGACGGAGGTGACCATTTCAGAACTTTCCATAGGCAAGCTCCAATCAAGTATATGGGTGTTTAGCGTTCCAAGTTGTTCTGCTAGTGCAGCAGTACTTGCAGGGTTCAGGTGATGCGTTTCGAGGTTCCTACTAACGAGGAAGAACTTGAAAAATATAGATCCCCACGCCTTCTTCGTAAGCTTTGACATGTCCCAGTCGAGACTGGCGATCAACGACACCATTGCTTGTACAAGACGACGATTTCAAACAAAAGGGTAATCAACCGCAAAGAGATCCGGAGCGTATAACTGCGCAAGGCACTCAATCTTCCGCGCGGGCGCAGCAATAATGCAATAATTGGCAACAGGAAGTCCCAGAGGTGCTAATTATTGGGCAGGGTCTGATCTCGAAACGCAAGGTTCAAGTTGAACAGGGGTATTGAATTTGCGGACACAGCCAGGTGGCGCTAGCACCGAGCTGATACCGATAGCGAAAAGGGCTCGTACAATTGTGTCATGACCGGGTATGTACGCCTGAATAGCGAAAACAGCGCGGGCGGCGAGCAGTTCGGGTCGATGGTATCTTTGGAGCCACCAGTTTTCACAGTCCAGGAGATAAAATGAGAGAGTCGCTGGTATACGAGTACTCGCAATCTCAATCGCGTTCGCGATGAGTTTCCCAAAGACCGACACCCGAGTTTCGACTTCTGGTCAAACCTCCCACAAAGTTCCTGGGTATGGTATTCAGATAGGGTGAGCACTGAGGCTGATACTAGGGGCACGTTGGCAAACCTAACATCTCTTCTCTCAGCTATCGAACGCTATCCGTTCGCGTGGAGGATAGAGATCTCCCAGCGAAGCCCAAAGTCAGCGCTGACCCAGCCGACGCGATTGCTAGTATCGATGTGCACCTCATCAACCCTGAGGATGTCTATACTCGCTACTCTACCCACCCGAGCTTTGGTCTGGAGGGTACAGCGGTACAACGCAGATCAAAGGACGGCAAGAACATCATTAGTCCGCCTGCGACTCAGTACTGGAAGAAAGCGATGAACTATGTGTTCGGTGGTTTCAATTTTCTCATGTGGATTGCCTTCATTTTGACGCTTGTGGGTATTCCCCTCGAACGAATGTCATCCAAATCTTGATTTTTCCTGTAGCTGTCGTATCAGCCACTGGGGCAGCCCGCTCCTCAAGTGTTTGTCCTCGGGGTAGCAATCCTACTGGCAAGTAACTTGCAGCGCGAGTACTTGGCTGTTGTTGATATTTGCCCCATAGTTGCTCGTCATCATCGTGTCGGCAACCTTCTATGCATTGGTTGACTGGAATGCCAGCCGAATTATGAAGTCGATCAAGTCCCTCATCGCAAATGAAGCGTCCGTGATCAGAGACGGAAAACAGCAGGTCATAGCTGCAAGTGACATCGTCGTCGGAGATGTTGTTGTTCTGAGCGCTGGTGACCGAGTGCCCGCCGACGTGAGGATCGTGCAGGCTTCCTCTGACCTTCGTTTCGACCGCTCGCTGCTCACTGGTGAAAGGTGTGTTCGCTCAGGGATCCAGGGACTCGTGTACGAGAAAGATTAACATATAGCATAGTGACATGATTCCCGGCGCGCTGGATGCAACGTCGGACAATGCTTTGGAAACGCGTAACCTTGCCTTAACATCGACGTTCGTTGTCCAAGGCGCGTGTACTGGTGTCGTCTTTGCCACTGGCGACAGGACAGTCATGGGCCGCTTGGTGTCAATGTCCGGCGAAAAGAAATTCAAGCTGACAACTATTCAGAAGGAGGTTTGGTTCTTCACCAAAATCATCTCCGCTTTGGCCTTGTTCTTCTTCTGCCTTTCGCTCCTCCTGTATGGTGTTTGGCTTAGGAGGACGTACCCCGGCTACGACACCACGAGCACAGCAATTGTAAACTCAATAGGCTGCCTGACAGCCTTCGTTCCTCAGGTGTGTCTCGTCCTCTTTTGTCCTTCCTCCCTTAATGAGCGTTGCAATATAGGGATTGCCTGTTTGTGTGGCACTTTCTCTGACGGTCGTGGCTCGGCGCATGGCTAAGCGTCATGTCCTGGTCAAGAATTTGGCAACAATCGAAACACTCGGATGCATGTCCGTCTTGTGCTCTGACAAGACAGGTACTCTGACTGCTGGTAAAATGGTTCGTCTCTTGGAGAATTGCTAGATTGATACGACCATACTCACTTAAACTTCTTTAAAGATGGTCGAAAACATTGCTTTCTTCGACAATCATTTCTCTGTTCGCGATATTCACGCGAAGGTTTCCAAAACTTTGGAGCCCAAGATGTTCGCCGGTATCAAAGCACTTCACCGGATTGCTCGACTCTGCAACGCTGCTAAGTTTGATGGTGCTACCATTGATCGTCCCATCGAAGAACGTGCAGTCAAAGGCGACCCAACAGACACCGCTCTCCTCCGCTTCTCCGAGGCCCTTTCTATCCCCAGCCTCGAGGTTAGCGCCAGTGGGCTTTTGGAGTCTTGGACCAAGAACTTCGAGATTCCTTTTAACTCTCGGAACAAATGGGCTCTGACCTTTATGACCGAGGATGGTTCTGCTGAGAAAGAGCCCGGATCATCGTGGATGCTCGTTAAAGGTGCTCCGGACGTCTTATTTAGATCCTGCGGCCGCGTGATGCAAACCGACGGAACTTCCATTCCGTTCGGCGAGAGTGAAAGACAAAGATTGGCTACGCTCCAAAACGAGTGGTCGAGCGAAGGCCAACGAGTTCTTGCACTGTTCGTCAAGTTCTCATTAGCTGGTGCACCTTGGTCTAAATATTGTTTTACGCAGATGCCACAAGTCCTTGGATGGCGTCAAGCTTGGGCTTTCGCCGAACGACATGGAGGAGCTGATGTACTCTGAGGTCCAGGACCTGACGCTCGTTGGACTCGTTGGTATTCGCGACCCTCCTCGCGAGGATGTCCCCTCTGCTATTGAGACGATTAGACGGGCTGGTGTCCGGGTTTTTATGGTCACAGGCGACTTCAAACTGACTGCAGTGGCGATCGCCCGTCAGGTTTGTATTTCCGCTTCTCCTTTCCGTCTTGCATTGACGATGGTTGGTTTGGTTTGTAAAGGTCGGCATTGTCTCGCAGGAGCGCATCGAAATCATCGAGGATGTCCGAGCAGCGGCATCCGAAAAGGTCCCCCCTGTGTCCCGCTACGCCGTCAAACCTGACGAGAACGATCCAATAAGGTCACTGGTACTCACTGGTGAAGATGTCTCGTCTCTGACATCAGCCGACTGGGACGTCATCGTCGGGTTCTACTCTGAGATTGTCTTTGCACGCACGACTCCTGAGCAGAAGATGAAAATCGTCGAGGAGATCAAGTATCGCGGTGATAATACGGTCGCCGTCACTGGAGATGGTGTTAATGACGCACCTGCCTTGAAAGCGGCTGACATCGGTGTAGCCATGGGTAGCGGAAGTGACGTTGCAAAGGAAGCCGGTATGTTGCTCCTCGTCATTCCTAAGCAAGTCATGATTTACACTGTCGCTCAACAGCTGCATTGATCTTGCTAAAGAATGACTTTGCGTCAATACCGGTGGCCATTGAGATGGGACGTCTTGTGTTCGACAATCTGAAGAAGGTTACTCTGTATTTGCTACCAGTAAGCAACTGAACAACAGGGTATGCTTGTCCAAGAGTAACATTTGTTCTTCAGGCTGGCAGCTACACCGAGTTCATGGCCGTCTTCGCGAACGTCTTGCTGGGCATGCAGATTCCTATGACTACTTACCAGCAGGTCTGCTTCTGTATCACCAACGACGTCGTCATGTCCATATCCCTGATGTACGAGAAGCCGGAAGCAGGTGTGTTGGGCCATTTGAAGGTCCTATCAGTCCTTACCTTATCCTAGATCTCATGTTGCGCAAGCCACGCAATGCGAGGACCGATCGCTTGACGGATTGGCGCCTCTTCGTCCAGGTTTACCTCGTAAGTGTCGATCGTCAAAATTATGGAGAGTATCGTTGATTATTTGGCAGTTTATTGGACTGATGTTGTGGCCCTGTGCCATGGGCATGTGGTTCTTGTACATGCATCAACAACACCTGAGTTTCTACGACGTCCTTCTGGTTTTCAACAAATGGCAGGATGGATGGCAACACTACCCAGTCGAGCAACTCACCGAATTCGTCTACGTCGGCTCATGTGTCTAGTACGTGTTTGCGCCGTTTCACCTCGTTTGCGGATGGCTAAATTGTAATTTAGTTACGTTACCCTCGTCTTCGGACAATACGGAAGTCTTCTTTCCGTCCGCAACCGTCGTGTTTCCATGCTACACTCGAACCCCCTCTGGGGCCCTCGCCGTAACTTGGTCGTGCCCTGTGGTATGGTGGCCACGGCTGCGATAGCCGTCATCAACCTTTACGGACCTGGCCTTCAGCGTGTGTTCGACATGAGGCCTATTCCTGCCATGTTCTGGGGAATACCCTTTGGCTTCGCTCTGGGCATTCTGATCATGGACGAGCTTCGTAAATTAATCGTGAGGACTTATCCGAAGGTGAGGATCATCTAATACCCCTTCTCCTTCGCATACTGACTTGGTGGTGGCAGTCATTCATTGCTTGGATCGCTTGGTAGTTTATTAGACTACCAAAGTGCGCATCTGTCGCATGTCGCTCCAAATACAAGACGTTGGTTGCATTTTCCGTGCACACTACTAGTAGATATCATCTTGGAAATATTACTGTAATTTATCTTGCTTGTGAATGCAATGTGCATAGTGTAAAGGTGCTGAGACCGACCGAGTCAAGAATATAAGGAGAACTCGCCGACACTTCCCAACCCACAAGATGTGATCCATCCAGCGCTAGGGAGGTGTAGTGAATATTCTTGAGTGTTGGTCAATTTCGTTGGGGTCAGAGTTTGGTTTGGTTACTTTGGTACGTCAGAACGGGGCGCTGCGATTATATCAGGGACAAGAGGACGTATGGGATCATAAACCTACGACTTTGTGGCGAGACCACGGCGCTATAGTGTAGTGGTTATCACTCGAGATTCTGAGGATTTTCTTATCTTCTCGAAACCCAGGTTCGAGCCCTGGTAGCGCCTAAATATTTTTCTTCCTAGCAACTGCTTGTAGCAGGCCTCCAAGCTTCAAGCCTCAAGGAGTCGTGCTCGCCATCATCATCATCCAGAATTTCTCTGGCCTCAGTTTATGCAAGAGTCAGAATGCATAAAACTATCTATTTGCAGGACGTTGCAAGCTGGATAGGGAATCTCGAGGACTTGCACATAACGGTGGTTCAACTTCTTCAAGTTTACTATGCGTCAAGTTCACTATTCAGGTTCTTTGTGGTCGCCAGGTTCCGATCCTTTTGAAGCTGAGCGTTTGGCCGTCGTGAGTCCTATGTCTCCCTTCACACAAGCACGACGAATGCACGAATTTTTCCGCTGTGACCGACCCTCCCTACTTCTCGACTCCGAGTCGGAATTGAAGTAAGATGCCAGCGGGCCTGGTGTCGGTTTACAGTAACATATCTCGACTCGGTTCCTCTTTTCCCCACACAAGGATTCATCCTATGTGCCATGACCCTGGTGCTGCAGTTTAATTGGAGTTGGAACGGAGCGCTCATTTCATGGATGGAGATACATCCGGCATCAAAAACTTGATCATCAACGTCACCTCAGGTCACCTCTGACATAGACTGCCTCGCAGGATGCCAATGTCGATTTTTCTTGATCCGTTCGGGCCTGACGAGATCACACATCTTGGCGCCACACACGTTCCACCAGTCGGGCGGAGTGCGGGGGACAAGACCACGGCCTCGACATCAATTTTGATGGCATCACCTTGCTTGAGTACCCTCGGTTGGTCATTGACGGGGATTAACCGTTCCTTCCTGTCTTACTCTGTACTGCCCGTGGACCTCGAACGTAAGTTGTTCATCGTTGCTCGTATCGGCTAGGGAAGGGCTCATGGTAATGACAGAAATCCGTGATTTTTTTGTTTTCTGGGCAGGTACTGGAAGTACATTGCATTGAGTCCTAGTACCCCTTGACATCGAATGAAATGCGATCATCTCCTCCTGTGGTAATGCGAGACCACTGCTTTTGTACCCAAGCCAGCGACGCTACGCATAAGTCTCCTGGAGTCGTTCACGTACGAAAGGCACCCACTCAAGTTTTTCACGGCACTTCTCAGACACTGGGCGGTAATGAAGGAACCCCATGATTTTTTTTGACACTGGACTTTCGAGGAGCAGTGATGCTGTAGCAGGCCATCGCAGTATAAAGGATGGCTGATCATTCGGTCAATCTGCACTCAATTCAGCTTCATCATCGAATCCTTCTCAAACCAACCAACCACCAACCAACCAAGCTCAGATCAGAATGTTCGGTCGTCCCTCTGCCTTCCTCCTCCCCATTGTTGCTCTCGCTGCAGTTGCCGCAGCTGCCCCCAATGACCTTGAGGCGCGCGGTGGTAGCAGTCAATGCAACACCGGCTCTATCTCGTGCTGCAACAACACCTACACTGTAAGAACTAATACTGTGCCGCAGTTTATATTTAATGAACATGCCCTTTCACAGAGCACCGATACGGGCCTCACCAGCCTTCTTGGGCTGCTGGGTATCGTCCTCCCTGCCGTCACTGGGTTGGTCGGGCTCGGGTGTACCCCGATCACTGTCGTCGGCACTGGCACCGGTGCCACATGCACTCAACAGCCTGTCTGCTGCACTGGAAATACCTTCGTACGTTTTATGACACTCCTTTCCCGGGCGCCGGTACTGACGTTTCATGCAGAATGGCCTGATCAACGTCGGTTGCAGTCCCATTAACCTCGGCTTGTAATTCCGGGGGTGTCAATCTACAATTCCCCCCAGATGTAAAAATATTGAATATTGTTTGGCGGAAATGACATTATGCTCTATGTTTTCACGTTGTGAGAGTGAACGTTGTTAGTCCCCTAAGTATCCAGACCGTCACTGGCAGGAAGGTTGAAGCAGGATCCCGTGGGCGTGAGACCCAAAGCGAGCCTCGTGCTACGAGAACGTCTTACGTAACTGACCTTTCTTAAGGACCTGCCTGATCGAGAGTTGTGGGTTGACTCTCTTCTTCCTCTATCTCGCAGGCGATATCAGTCGGCTGTCTGCGAACGAAACAAATTTCTTGTATCTCCCCACTATTATATGCCAACAAGACCTATAGATACTTCCCGGAAAGAATCTGTCAAGTCTAAAGCACCCCAAATAACTTCTCAACATCATATCCAACATGGACAGCATCAAAACATATCGCTTCTCTTCGACGTTCCAGCGGAGTCGCTCACTTATATCACTTCGTATCTCACACCGCCCTCGCTTCTTGCACTCGCCAGGACTTGCAGCCACCTCTACAAACACGTAAAGGATGATAATACCTGGCTTCGGGCTTTCCTGAACCAGTTCGCCGGGATCGGTCCCGAGCACAGTCTTGACAACGAAAAGGTGTTGCTGTTGAGGAGGTTGGAAAATACATGGCGCAAAGAGTTTATCTTGCGGCATAGTCTCGGACGGTAATATTTTTTCTTTGGAAGCATATCAATAATCGTCATAGATGACTCATTCGGATCCCCCTAGACGCTGGGAACGTTCCCGTAACCCGACGATTACTCATTCTCCTCAGGACTCATCGATTGATGGAGCCCATCTCATGTCAGAGAATGGCCTCTTGACATCTTCTCTTCAGTACGGCGTTGTAGCAAGATCTCTGCCGCTCAGCGGTAAGGTCTTGAAAGGCTACCTCGACGCATCCGGAACTGGTTTGGGCATTGGGAACCCAAATGTCGAATTTACACCGAACGTCTCGGTCTGCACGGTGTCTTCTGATGGTGGCACCGCACGCATATTCTGGGGCAAACGCAACGGCGAGGTTGCAGTCACCGTGGCCACCAGAGTCATGGACCATGGACGCGCTGGGTCCAGATTTATCAGATGCGGAGTCAATGACCAACATGAGGGCACCGTGCAGCAGCTGGTCCCGGACGCAGCCTCGGGCACCTTCTTGTCCGCCGGCGCTGATGGGCGGGCAAAGCTGTGGGACTCCAAGAACCTGAGGTGTTTGTGGTCTAGCGAAAAGCAGCTGCAATCGCTTGTTACAGACCCGCTTCTCAGTCTCGCGGGTGGCCTGAGTGAGGGTTATATTGCCGGTGCACTGGCCAGCGGGGACATCCTACTCTGGATCGTGCCAGAGATGCTCACGCTGGACGATTTACCTGCTCACATCGTCCTCGATGAGCTCAGGGTCACTGCTCCGATCCACATCGAGCGTCAGCCCACACATCAAGCGGATTCTTCGGTGCCAGAACCACGGCTTTCCCAGATGTGGTTGTATCGCACCGCTATATCGCAGGTTACGCTCTTCATCAGGTATTCCAACCACCCGCTGTTCTACCGCGTTTTCATCGACACCAAGTCTGCTAAAGTGGAGACGACCTCCTTCGGCGACAGTTCGTCTGGCTACATCTCCGTCATCGAGCCAGTCATATCCATTCAGCCATCTGAGGGGAGTATGATCATTGCTGGAGACCAGCTGGGATTCGTCAGTGTCTATGACGCGAATGCGCCTTTCACTTCGCAAGCTCCCGTGCCCCCTGTGCACAAGTTCGAGGCCCACACGGATGGATGCATCACTGCCATTTCCTGGAACGCAATCGTGCTTGCCACTGGCTCCGCGCGCGGAACTACTGTGGTCTGGGACGCTCTCACATTGGAACCAGTCCGCTACTTTACCTCTCCTGCAGCGCGCCCAGCACCTGGACGGGACTGGGATAGCGTCGGCAAAATCCTACTGGACAAGGAACTGATAGTTATCATCGTTGGAAATCGGGTGATGACTTGGAAGGTTGGACAGGTTAGCGGACGCGAGTACCAACATCTAAAGAGCCGAAACGCGCATGCGAAGAAGAATCTGATATCAAAGGGACACCGTAAGATACCTTCATCCCCTTTTTTGATCTTCTTCTGATCCTCTCGACAGAACAATACGAAATGCATAAAGACATCAGCGAATCGCGCAAGGAGCTTGAGTACGAGAAGGCTCATTTCCAGCGTACTTATGGCCGCGAGCGAGAGCAACGCACTACCTTGACTTCGCTCGGTCTTTCCGAGTTGGAAGCTGTCGAATACGTCTTGATGCTCTCGCGCGAAGAGGAGGAGCGCCGTCGTATAGCGATGGCTGTGGATGAAGGAGTCTTCGAGGGCGATTTTGATGAGCTTCCCGGAACATCTTTCCAATCGCAGCCGTCTCCACCTTCCGGATACCTATCGTCCCGCCGCTCATCTTCCAGCTCTACCTACCATTCAAATGGCCGCCAGTACCCCCGCGTTACGCTCCCGATCTCGAACGAAAAGGTTCAGGTGTCTCCCCCGTTCGTTCCGGAGCCAATGGAAGCGGGAACAAGCATCAGCCCGCTTGGATCGATGGCAACTGGATCTGGCGGACAATCGGGAGCCATGGCTGTGCGTAGCACGTCGTCGTCTTCCCCGGTCCATTTCCCAGCTATCAGTTCCAGTCTCTCCTCGACACCCAGTTCGAGAGGAGGGATGTCCACCCACCACTCGGTATCCAGCAGCCCGGATCAACCTCGTTCGGCTTGGAGCACACCGATGAGATCAGTACCACCTTCTCCAGGGCCGTCATCCCCCCGTTCTCGCGTTTCAACCCCAGTTGTTGCGAGACCAAGTTCCTCGAACATGTCAATGTTAACTGCTGACATCGCTCGGAACAAGGAAGGCCTAAAGAAAGAAGAGTCGTTACCAGATCTGGAGGAAATGGACGATGATTTGAAATTTGCGATCGAGTTGAGCCTTGCTGAGGCACGTAGCCGAGGAGAGGAGGTATGATTTTTAGGCTATGGATTTGGACAGTACCAGAGTATAAACGTAGATGAGCTCGTCTTCGTATGCTTCTCACTGCTGGAATTATGAAATTCTTTTTGGTCTTCAGCTGCGGGCCACCTTCAAATCGTAAGATGCCGTCTGTGAGTTTGAATAGGGGATCAAAGCAAGTCAGCACGCCAGCCGTCTAGGTTCTGAGAATGTCCGAAAGCATCGTCGAAGTATTAGCTGGT